GAAAGGAAGACTGGAATTCAAACTGTTGCAGAGCTCAAGTATTTTCTATTCATCTTTTTTGGTTAATTGTCATGAAGAATTAATAAAAGTCTTCATGAGCCTACAATATAGAAAATTGTATATAAAAAAAATATATAAAGAATATGTCTTAACAGCAATATTAAGAATGTAAGCTAGAAAAATATCAGAAATTCTCTCAATTTATTAGCTCTACCTTATGCTTAAAAAAAATTTCAATTGCTGCACTCAACCCAGTATACTGTTAGCATTGAACATGGCTCTCAGCACCTATCCAGAATTGCCTGGAAAGCCATCAGCTAATATTCTTTACAAAAAGGATGAAATTCTGATTAAACAATTAATATATTCCTCAGAATTTTATCTTGTGCAGAAATACAAATAAAAATCTCATCACAATATGAAAAGCTAAGTGAACAATTTCACTTGAGAGCCATTCAAACAAAATTAAGACAGACTGAATATAACTAATATGTAGAACCAAAATGTCCACATAGTTTTAATGAGTTGGTTAATTCAGGGTATCATACTAAAAAAAGATACAGGCATTTTTTCCTCAAAAACCTTTAACAACATTTAAAAAGTCATGATTAATATTATTTTAAGACAGAAGCTAATTTACTTAATGGAAGAAACATTTTCCTACATTGCAAGTTAGTAAGTATGACTAAAAAGATCTAAACAAGTTTTTTTTTTTTTCCTCACATTCACTAACATATGAATGTGACACAAAACAAGAAACAAAAAAAATCATAAACTTTAGTTAATAGAAAATTAAGAACCTCAACTCTTCACTCTTTCGACTCCTACTAATGCAGTGTATGAAAATATACCTGAAGAGTCATCAGCCAATTACTTCTGAGAAGACTGAAATATTGAGTCATTTCTTGGAATGTAGGGAACTAAACTTGAGTACCAGTGAAAGAAGGTGATTTAACAGGGACCATGTCACGTCCCTACAGCACGCTGTACTGCCACAAAGATACACCTGGCCTAAACTTAAATATTCAGGCTCGTGTCAAAGCCTGTCCAAACGACATTAGTGCAGTATTTTACCTGATGTGCTCAAATTTGCTTTCAGGACACTGTATACCATCCTACTAACTCAAGGCTGGTAAATATTCACAGAAAACCAGCTAGGTTTTTTACTAAAGGAAAGTAATGCCACATGTGCTCCACTTGGAGAGTAGTGGAATCAAACACAGTAATGATGCCACAGCTTAACAAACACTGCAAATTGACTGAACTGTGTAATAGTCCACAGCAATGTAATACAACTCAACTTTGTGTAAACATTTGCCACAGGCTAAACTAAGCCAAATTCTCCCTTATTTATCACAAGATAAAAAGTACACACTTAAAATTGCTGGGGATGAGATGATGTACTTGCTAGGCCCTGGTGTAAGTCTAGGCAGTCAAAATTTCCAGTTATGCAACAGGAGTTCAATACTTTGAGTAATTTTTTTAAAATATAACAAATACGTGTCACATTTTAACTACACTCTTAAACCAAAACACATAAACCAACTTTTAAAGTCTGTTAAACAGACACATCCACATTCTTCTTTAGATTTAAATTACTCCAACACAGCAATAAACCAAGCAAACAAAACACATTTTTTGCCACAGTCAGTGATCTCCTTGGAGTATTTGAGAATTTTCTGTATTTGGCCCTTTGAATCGTTCCAGGGCTCGTTCCTCAAAAAAGATTTGAAGCGCAAGAGTGAATGAATTCAGAACAAGAGATCTAACTTCAAAGCAAGATCCTTTTTCAAAGGGGCTTTTGGAGGATGTTTTATATTTGGAATACTTAAATTTTCTGGCAAGTAGTCCTGGTTTAATATTGGGTAAGAATATTTTTTTTTTTCTCCTCCTCCATTGAACCTAGGAGGGATGGCAGATTCTATTTTAGGAACAGCTTTGAAGTTAAAGAGCTGGCAACAGCACAATTAAAACACAGGCCTGAAGAAACCAAATCCACAGCTCTTAATCGTTATTTTCAAATCTACTTGAAGCACGGAAGGATGTTGAAGGAGACCTTCTGAACAAGTGTATGTCATAAACCTGTCTGTAAACCACAAGACTAAAGCCAAACCTGCTTGTTATATTTATAACACATGTGGATTTCTTTCACCTTTAAAAGCTCAACAGGTGAGGGGTTCTGTAAGAATAGTCCAGGATACCTATATGACACACCAAGTGCATTTGGGGTGTCTGTGGGGGTTCCTCTCACGCTTTTAATAACATACAACTTAGACCACATTTTCTGTACGACAATTACAATTAAAATAATTACTTTCTAAAAACTTGCAATGCATTATCTATATTATTTTACCAGAAAGGTTTTAATGCAGCTTAACACTACAGTTAACATTACTGTCACATTCCTCTCCTTTCTCTATCCCCTGCAGTAAGGAAACATCACAAAATTGCCAGAGCAGTAGCATATTCTCTTTTCAGACACCCTATTTTTTATATCGAGGCACAAAAAACTTGGAAAAGTGCACAGAATTATTTAATCTTTAAATCTCTTCTGTTTCCTACGTTGCACCATTTTGTATATGACAATCACTGATGAGAGCCAGAGCTTGTCAGGCAGCAGGAGTTAATAGTTTTAAAATCATCAGCAACTGAAGAAAGCAGCCTCTTCTATGAGGATTTAAACCCTATAAAGCCCCACACAAAAGCAAAAGTTGTTGCACAGAAATAATAATGTTATTTCCTTGCTCATACATAAGAAACCTTTAAAAGATCACCTGTGTGAACAGAATAGCAAAGAAACTGCTCAGCATTACTTCAGAATAAGTCAAGCAAAAGAATGCAAGGAACAAAAGGAGAAAATAAGGGGCTCCACATAAAATCAGTCTCTATAAAAAAATCTTTCACTTTCCTACTATAATACTCCCAAAAGTTTCTCCATCTACTTTGATTTCTCAGTGATTATTCTTCTTATGCCCTTGCAAAGTCCTTTTGAATTTAATTCCTAAAAATGACAACACTCAGGTAACCACTATTTGTGCAAATGACCATGACACTCCCTCCAGTAAATTTCCATAAATTTCCGTAAATATCAGTAAATTTCAGACCAGATTTAAGGAGAAGAGTTCTCAAAGAGCTTTGATTCCTCTAAGATTCACAGACACAGGACACTGGATAACAACATCAGGTGCTAGTAAGACCTCTGACTGAAAGAAAGGATACCACATAAATGCAATTCTTATCAGATTTTGGGAATTCACACATACTGTGTGGGTAAAGGGGAATTAAAGCTTCTGTTGATCCTTTGACCTTAGAAATCAGAGAATCCAACTTCTGACACAAATTCACGGTATGACACACTTTTAGTTCAAAAGTTTGTGGAATGATTTGTTAACATGTACCTCAACAGCATTAGATGACTTACAGAAAACAGCTTCTCACTTCAAATGTTTTCAAGGACACAAGATCCAACATTTAGTCTTTAGGTAATGATTTCCTACTTGAGACTATGTTTACTGAGAAAGAAAGACAAAAGTTTCTGTTTCTGCCTTGCAGATATTTTTAAGAAATGAGTAGAATACAAAAATCTGAAATTCTGCATATATAGCCAAATGTGCATGGAATGCACTGTCTTTATTTCATTACCATAAAACATTTGATGATAATGCATCTCTCATTTTTCACATCCTGTGTAGTGCAGGATATTTACCTGGTGGGGGAATCAGAGGTGGAGCAGTACTGACAGTTGGAGGGGGTGGGAGGAAAGGAGGTGGTGGAAGGTGGGTAGGTGGAGCTCCTGGAGGGAAAAATGGAGGTGGCTTGGTAAAATTGTCTACTTCAGGATTAGATCGTTCTGAAAGAACCTGTAAAATATCAAACTATAGTTACAATTGCTACGTCAAAAGGGCAGAAGATAGGTTTCCTCTCTTTCCAGTTACTACAACAGGAAGGTATTACTACTTATGCACCTAAAGAGCCATATTCAGATAGTTTAAATTCTATCTGCAACCCTCGTCCAGTGTCCTATGCTTGCCAAGTACCTCTGAGGGTCTAAGAACAGCCAATAGGGAACAACGAACTTAAGATCCAAGAGGGAATATAAGCCATCTGAATATTGCCCAAAACACCATCTTAAATTTATATATAAAGGAAAACATTTTAAAATCATTGTGAAAAGCACGAAAAAACCTCAAGAACTTAAATTACTTAAACACTATGAGATCAGCTGAATAACACATGGCAGTGTTTTCAGTATAATCACCATTATTATTGTCACTGTTTAACCTAAACTTAAGTTGGCATGGAAATACAGCCAGGGCACCAAGCAACCTCGATTCTTCTCCACAGGTAAGTCAGGAGAGAAAATGTGCATTCAATCTTAATACATTTAGTTGTTCTCTTAAAATAATCCAAGCCCATATAGACAAAAATCATAAAGACTAATCTTACAATTTATGGTAAAATAATACAATCTAATTTTGGAAAAAAAAAACCAACTATCAACTATTTATTCCTTCACAACTTATTTTTAAAAGACTGCATTTCTCAAACTGTATACAAAGAGGCTTTCACTTTCAGCATTAGTGCCTGGCAGGAATAGGGGAGAAATGGACAATCAGTTTAAATATTTTTCTTTGTCACTTAGTAAACAAAGCAGTATCCTATGCAGAACTAGCAGAGCCAGTGCTGTATCCTGGACTGTAAGTCTGCAATATCGCTCATTTCCTTTCAGTAAGTAGTATACCAAAACACTTATCTTTTGAAATATATCAAATATTTCATCTTAATATACTTCAACTAACTGCCACAACTTTCTTCCTGAACTTAAAGCTACTCCTGTATTACTCATTGATACACTCTGAAATGTTTTAATCAGAAGCTATGGAGAAAGAAAAAAATATGTTTTAGTCAAAGACAGAGTGCAAATCTGCAGTATAAAACCTGTATGTTGCTGTTTTCATTGGCACGCCGTCGTCCTTCCACCCTGCTGATAGTAATGGTCTGTCCAATCACATCTATTGTGCCAGATATCCGCCTGCAACACAGAACAAACCAGAATCAACAAACAGAATTAGAAAAGGAAAAAAACAAAAATAGGAGAGAAGAAAGTCTTATGGACTTCTCTTATACTAAATGCCAAAGTTCTTTCTCCTGTATAAAACATAAAAGACCATTTCTGAAGAACATTAACTGTGATAAATTTGCTGAACTACGCAAGTGTGTATAGAACTAAACAATGCAACAATAAAGACTCCTGTAGGACGGAGGATGACTCTCCACATTCTCCTTCCATCCTCTACAAGGTAATAAATCTACACTTCTGTTACCGATAAAAGAAAAAAAACCCAAGGAACAATACAGTGAAAACCTCAGTAAGAAAAAAATGTATTAAACAGAACTTCTACAAAAGCCTAAAGTAAAATAGTTATAAACTAATCATTAGAAATAATTTCAAAACTGCAAGGAACCATACTGGAGGATTCCATGGAAGATCAAAGAAAGGTTAAGTTCAGAGGTAGACATGAACATGAGCCAACCCTACCATGCATACTATCGATATTGCAGCACATATTGAACAAAATCAGCCACCACCTCTCTTATCTTGTAATACAGTCCTAATATCAAACAGAAAGTATACTGTGAAACTAGTAGACACTGACTCTTAAATTAAACCTTGTGTGAAACTCAAAGCAATCATAGACAAGACATTCATACTTCCTCAGTTTTCCAAATGTAAAATATCTCTCCCAAACACCTCTAAAACACTTGCATAGCTAATCACTATGATCACCTTTAAAGAAACCAGCAACAGAGCAGCACAAGATTCACCTCAGTCTCCCTTACAACGTAATCAGGCAACAACAGAACACCCTGTAAATCAGGAACACCTACCTTAGAAATAGTTAGCAATATTTAGAGAATGGTGACAATAGAAGTGACATGCATATACACATCCCTTCCAGTCAATCAAAAATTGAAGGACTTCCCATGCAACTGTGTTTAATAGCACCTGATAGCTTACATTTGCACAATCGCTTTTGAACACACTTTTACTTTTCATCTCCAGTGATGAAATCTGTTTCAGCTATTTTTTTCCCTGACAATTGTATTTGGTGCCCTACAGTTCTGGTGTTAAAAAAAAAAAGAAGTATATTGTGCATATGTGTGTGTGTATATATATATATCTATATCTATATATATATCTATATATCATCCTGTTCTCTGGCAGTGTAGTATTGGTGGTACCTCTGTTATATCTCTTCTTAGTTGCCTACTTCCCAAGCTGAACTAGTCCATAACAGTCCTCCATTAAAAAATGAGGTAAAAAATTACATTGCTAATGGATGAGACAAACAGTTACATCTGTGTCACACCTGTAACAGAAACCATAGTTGAGAAAACTGACAATATTTACCAATAGCATGATACATAACAAAAAGAAAGACTGGAAAAAAACTTTCAGAAAATAAATCCATAGAAAGAAAAAAAAATAGTTTTAGAAAACAAGTTCTTGTATTTTTTGTAAGTAGTAGACTACTAACCACATTAATACAGATAGCAGGGAGAACAGTTGGAACAGGCTCCAAGTTCTGCTGGACTGATATCTCTGACCCCAATTGTTCAAATAGCTAGATTTCAATTCAGCTGAAAAAGACACAGCAGACACTAGAGCATGAAGAATCAATTAGATCTCCCAAAGATAATCTAAAGTTCTTTGGCAGACTTCATACTGAGGATAATCCAAATGCCTGTCCTCTGAGCTTTTCAATATCTGGGTTTAGAGCTTCCTTTTGGATTTTAAAGCAAGCTCACTAAGCACAACAGTTTGAAGGTAAAAAAAAAAAAAAGTCCAGTGGCACAAGAATCTGAGAACACATTTGCAAACTGGAACAGTATATACTCTACAACAACCTCTCCAAGAATAACACAACTTTAAGAAATTCTCTGATCTTCTAACCCATCCTAAAAGACTGTTTCAGTCTAAAACCTGAAATCATCAACACCTGCTTTCCTAATCCTTCCCAAAGGTCTTGCATGGTATTCCACACTGCCACACTTTGGGATTATTATTATTTTGCTTTCAGTGACTAAATTGGAAACATAGGTATTATAAACCAATTGCTATAAACCATTTCACTTAAAAAAAAAAAAAAGGGAATTTTTGTAAAACAACAAAACTTTGTTTCAGTCCTCACTGACAGCTCATTTGATTTCAGAGTTCTAAGACACTGGTTCTCCTCCATCACTGTTATCTTCTATCAATGATCTAAAAAAACTGTACCCTAGAAAACTAATTTTACCTAGCTTTAGTCCTTGTGTATGATAGATGACTCTCTTCTATAGCAAGAAGTCCCTCCTCAGGTAAGTCCCTGCTTGGTCTGTTCCACTGTTTGACAGGGCTTCCATTTGGGAGTGATGTACTTCAAATTAACACTCTTCCTCTTCTGGACTGTCTGAACACTGCCAGCAACTCTTGGAATCACCATTGAAAACACAGGCAAGGGACACCAGTGCAAGAGTACCGGGCATTAAAGTGATATGTGCATCAACCATACTACAACAATACCAATTTTGGCTTGGGAAGCAGCCCAAACACAAAACTGCATTATCAAAAGGAAGCAAATCTGGACTACCAGTTGGTTCCTAGACATCATCTTCACTGGAAGGAACAGAGTTTTCACTTAATTTTTCTAGAGTCTGAAGAGTACACCTATGTTCATCCATTCTCACTGAGCTGATACTCCGTAATTATTTTTTCACTAACATTTATAGTCCATTGTTCTTCCCAACAGCTGCCAAGAGATTTAATTTTTGTAATGATGGATGAGTTCAGGAATTTGCCATCATACCTTGAACTTGACAAATTCTCTATTTCCAAGATAGCAATAATGATTTCATTAAGTACTTCACTAAAAGAGTGAACAAGAGAAAACATATTTTCAGTTGCAAATGGAGCAGCAGGTGACACCACTGACAAAAACATAATCTTCACAAAGGCAAGAGAGGTATCTGAAGTGTCCAGAATCTAACAGTTCAGAGCTTTGTAAAAGGGGCAATCTGAAGCCTCAGATCTTGTCATAGCAAGTTTGTACATGGTGAAATTTCAAAGACTCCCCAGCCATTATCTAGTTAGTGATTTTGAGCAGGCATTACTAGGTTTCTGTCTCAGTGCTGTGTGCAAAGAAAAGAAAGGGCTTGGTTTGTCCTATACAATCAGGGCACCTGGGATACAGATGCATTCCCAGTGGATACACCCAAACATAAAAAGGCAATCCATGCGCGTGGGATGCACATGAACCCACAGCAGAGTTCATATAAAGTGTAGCTTGAAAGTAACATTCCAGCAACTCAGTGAGTGATTTCACTCTAATTAGAGAATGATTATTTATGAGCCTTTTGCACTTTGAGTACCACCCTCTATGGAGATTTAATTGAGAAAGATATCTCAATCTCATTTGGTAAGATGAATTTAGACTCTACAGAGCAAAGAGAAGGGGTGGGGGGGAGAAGGAGGAAAAAACCCCCTATTATCTTCCAAATCCATACCTTCAGAAATCACTTATCTCTATCACCAGTAATAAAAATAATGAACTGCTCTTTAGAAATCACCTGCCCCCAATTTTCAAAATTCTGAAGCAGTCTAACTACTGGATGTCACATTTATTCACTAGACTTACAGTCTAGTCTAAGAATTATAGAATTACAGTATACTTTAAGAACTGTATATAACATGTTCTTGTGTTCCTTTTTGTCATGCTTATGTGTTTTATGCTTTATTTTCCTCCTCTTGAGGACAGCCTCAACTTTGCTGAGCTCACTTACCACTGATTGATATAACTAAGAAGCAAAACAAATTTAATACAGAAATCACTGATATACAAAATAGACAGTTTTTCAAAATAGTATCTGAGTTTTCATCACCTAGTCTCACAAGGCTAGTTCATGAAACAAGAGAAACCTCAATTTTTTCATAGAAACAACTTATCACAAATCCCTTTTCTATAAAAATTTTGTTTACAGAAAGGCCAAAGCACAGAGAAAGCTGATAAACAGCCCATAACATTGACAGGCTGATTTCTCTGAAAGCCACATTAGTTTCAATGTAATGTACTCTTTAATAGTAACCCAAAAATCATAAATGGAGGTTAAAAAACTAAAAGCTTCTGACAGAACAAAGTTTTGTGATGGACAGCTATACTAGATATTATTGGAATGAGAAAATACCAGTTCTTGCATTCAGCTTGTAAATGAAACTTCTGTTTATTTCTCTGCTACTAAAGAAATACTTTCTCACAGACCTTGAAAACTGACATAGGGAAAAGCACTGGCCTAAAAACCAGTATAATACCTCTGTAACTTGGCTGGTTGGGACATGTTTGAAATACGTCAAACCCTCTCCATGTTCTAGAGCACTATACTCAGATTCCTTCAGGTTTTTACCTTAATTGTGACTATGCACACAATGAATCTTTCATTAACTACCTCTAGAAAACAAACATTCTACTTTATAGCATATTGTTTTTATATGTGTATTTATTAAACCATTTCCATTATGTTCTAACTCCTTCTTCAGAGTTACATAACATTTTATGCTATTCAACAGCCCTAAATATCACAGAATCAAGAGATTCAGGTGTATTTTTCAGAGTTTACAACAGTCATTGTTTACAAATTAAAACAAAATTTCTCACACAGACACGTGAACAAGCACCGAATTTTTCTTTGAATTAAACATCTAGAATGCAATTCTAGTGAAGTAATAATTTATCTGCTGGCGAGCAATAATTTTGTTTCTATTTTGTAAACTACAACTTCCATATTGGTAATGAACAATGTTCTTTTGCTAGACCTCGGAGGGGTTTTTGAGAATTTCAACTGCAATCTTATGCAAGTATCTACGGCACTCAAACTAAAAAGGTAAAAAATAGAAAATAGTAGGCACAAAATTATTTTAATGTTTGTTTCAAAAAAACTTAAAAAAAAAAAAAAAAAAAAAAAAAGAGG